GATATGAGCTGTCAAGAAGTACTTTCTGTGGTAGTTTCTGTTTATTTTAACATCTTTGGTAGGAAGTGAATGAGCAAATTATTTCCAAGATAAAAAATAAGATATTGATAACTATTTTTATTGCTTATAGTCACACCACAACACAAAAGTGTAATTCATATTGATGAAATGCTCTGAACTTCACTCTACCTTTTATTACAACTTAGGTCTTCTACTTTACTGTGCCTTTGAATAACTCATAAACCCTGAAGTTCAATACTAACTAACATTTACATTTTTGGCTGCTGTCAATCATAATTACAACATCCAATAACCGTTGAAAAAATGAAACAAACAAAATGAAACAAAATCTAGCAATGAATCACAACCCACAGACGTGACCTTTCTAACATGTTGAAGTAAGCCTCTGTTTCTTGAGGTGCACTGAGATCACTGATGGCAGCAAAACATGAAACCATTGCCTGAGCATAATTTGTGTTATTGAAAGGCACAGTAAGAGTATCGCTGCCCTAAATACTGTAACACAGTCTTAAATACTGTAACTTGTATTACAGTACTGTAAAATCAGGTTATTTTGTACCTAGGCATCATTTTTTTAAACATTCTGATCTAAATTTTTTACTCTCTGAACTCTAAATACTTTAACAATGATGAATGTGTAGAGAAATTACGATCATTAATTAAAAGCAATTTTGTTAGACATGTGTATAGTCTAATTGTAGATGTATTTGAAATATGTCCAACTGCAGGGTAAGCAGCGTGTTGGACTCACTTTGGTGCATGTCCTGTAGAACATGAAAAACCATGTTGGGTTACAGTAGAGCTCAGGTGGGTGGTTCGGCATCTGCCTCCAACACAGGAGGTTGCGGGTTTGGATCTGGGCTACTCCACCAACCAGGCATTTTAAAATAATGAGTAACAACATGCCTGTTATGCATAAAAAACTTTGTGTCAGCTCAGATGATTGGGTACTTCTAAGCAGTCACCTTCTGTTTAGGTCCCAAGGGTGCCTGCTGACAAGAGATCCAACTGTGCCATTTTTCAGGCATCTCTCTCTTGACGTTCTTATATTAAGTCTTCTACACTTGAAAGATGTCTAAAATTTAACCCCAAAGAAACGAAATACTGGTGACAAAGCTTCTCAAAAAATCACATATCAGTGATGGGTCATACCTTGGTTCTGTCAGTTTGTACATGAGGAACAACTAACTACACAGATATCTGTAAGTTTACATCATCTGAATTTTCCTGTCAAATCTTAGAAATTCTTCAACAAAGAAAGAACTAAGCACAAAACAAGAGAGGTATTTCTCCACCTCAAGTATAAGAATTATAACCCACTGCATGTGGTGGCCCATTTCTAAATTAAAATCTTTATTACCAACAATATTTTTACTGTCAGGTTTGTGCTTAGGAGTTAAGACCAGGGAATTCTAATTTTCTTGGAGTCATAAATTCTTTAACAACTTCATCTGTGACTAGTTTTCTTCTTTCTTGATGTTCTGCAACTAATGGCTGTAGAACTGAAATGAGTTCTTTCTTGATTTCCCCTGAAAGCATCTTACCACTGGAATAGTCCTGACAAGAAAGAGAAGAAAGTAATGTTACCATCATGCATAAGCCAAGAACAAATTCAGGGATTTCACTAAGACTGCCACCAACAGGAAAAAGTTATCTTATGTTTACTCCAATAAATTCACCTGGTAACTTTCTTCATATTAACAACATCTGGACTGAAAAATTAACTGCACCAACTTTGCAGCTTTGGCCATCTGCTTAAAACCTAATCTACTGTAAGGTACATGTTAAGGTACCATGTAACTTTAAAGACCCAGTTTTGGCCAGGAGGCAGTCTGCAAACTGTGAGCATAATGAGCAATAGAACTCTCGCAATCCTGTTAACCAAAACAAAAACAGACATGCGAAAAGCATGATGGTCAATACTGGGTCTTTAAGTATGGTCTGCACCATCGTGAAAGTGGCCTATGCGTACCACTAAAGATTACAGCAGGTCCCATAGGATAAAGCAACTAGGGTAATGACAGGCTAGTAGCAAATCACAGTTTATCCCTCTGTCAGCAGTTGATAGCAGTTTATAATACATGTGTTGGACAGGTATGACCTAAAAATGCGTGTGTGCCATTGATATCATCAGCTACAGAATTTTGTTTGGTTGTGCCAACAGTTGACCAGTACCCCACAGTTCACCTGTCCAGTACCCATTCAGGTGATGTATTTCTGGGTGCGATAGGCACTGTTAGAGTCAAACATCTTACCCAAGAATACAACATGATAATGCCAGTTATACAAAGAAAAAAGCTGCGACTCAAACAAGCTGCTGCTTACATAAGACACAAACTTACTAATAAATGGTACATTTTAACCCATTCACGTCTCTAGAGCACAAGGCAAAAGCAAGGCATTAGTGAGAAATAAGCTGTGAACCATTTAAACAAGCACTTGGTACCTTACATAAGCTGCACTTGTAAAAAAATTAATAGTCCAGTTTGCATCTTGAGTAAGCCGCCGCTTGTGTAAACCACCTCTTTTTTACTTCATATAAATGGCTCTATTGATACCAGGGGAGTTATACCAGGGGCCCAAAACCAGATCACTTGACCAGGAGTCCAACATGTTAACCATTAGGCCATACATGAAGGTAATCAGGCCTGCAATTACTTTGGTTTTGTTTCAATGGTTTTTCTACCGTTTGAGATTGGCTGAACAGTGTAATTTGTAAGTAACTGGTTTGGTTTAGGTTTTACAACACTCAATTGAAAAAAAGAAACTCTCTATTCTATACCAAAACCATTGTAGCAGGAAATATAGATACAGCACTCTGACTTATCTCAAAGAACCAACCTCTTTTATTTGAGCTAGTTTTTCATCGTCCTCCAAGAAGAAGGTAAGATACTGGTAAGCAATATCCACTGTCACATCTCCGCCATATTTCCTGTGATCTTCTACAGTATCGCGACCACCAGAAAAGGCATACTTATTCACCTGTAAAACAATTTCATATATAATAATCGTTCTTTGATCTCTTCAGGACTATGTAAGAAATCAACAACTTGGCAGCTACTCGCTTTGTCTGCCCAAAGGTTCAAATTATGTTTACTTAATAACACATCAAAAGAGTAAATAAGTTATTGAATGATACTATCCAATACCTTCTTTTTAATCTGAGCCTGGGAATCAGTGAGGAAGATTGAAGAGGTTGGGTCACTTGAGCTCATTTTTGTTTTTGCACCTTGCAGAGCAGGAAAGAATGTGGAAAATATCAGAGATGGCTTTGGACAACCAAGTCGTGGAGCCACATCTCGCGTCATTCTGAAGTACGGATCCTACGAACGCAAAAAGAACAATCGTTATGATAAGTGCTATTGGCTCAGGAAAAGTATTCCACTTACTAAAACCCTGAACATGGAGTTAAATTAAAAAAAACACAAACATTAATAACGCCATGATCAAGTACTAGTCAAACAGTAACTGCTACTCCACTGAATAGAATGTTAGTCTATAGAGACAACCCCCTTCCCCTCCCCCAGGCTGTTTGTCAGGTGGCCTCAACAAATAGGACATTTCTGAATTGCCTTTAGCCTCTGTGTCAAAATGAATCTTCATGCAAAACCATTCATATGAAAATGAGTTCCCTCCAGGTTCATTTTCATGTAAATCAAACTTATTTTCATTAGAAGGGGTTTGTACAAAGACTCGTTTTGAAACAGAGGCAGAAGGTAACTGGTGGCCCATATTCCTGGGTGGAGTAAGGCAAGGGGAGAATATTCAGAACACAACAAAAATAATAATTCCAGCCAGCGTAAATCCAGATCTCCCTCAACTGCAACATAAAGTAGCATACTACAGCCACTGACTGAAGGCTGTTAATTACATGCCCAAGAAATTGCCAGTGGATGGATGGAGAGGGACACTGTGACAGGAACACGGCTTGTCTTTAGTAAGAAGAACACAATTTGACATGGCCAGGAATAAGACAACTAAACCTCTGGGTCAGGGTGACAATGCAACTCTCTCAACTAAGATTCTCACCTGATCTATTGCACAAGGGATAAGACACGGCACATCTTTTCTGCTGCCAAACGTGAGAGGAAACGAATGACTAAAAGATGGGGCAGCTTGGATGGCAGGAAAAGCTATTTTACCTGAAACACATAATAATTTAGTGTCAGACTTACAGAAATTCATTTTTGACAAATTATTTACCAGTAAATTAGACTACTCAAGGCCGACTGAATATTTGAATTACAAAAATCATCAAAGTGAGCCAAAAAGGGGTTTTAAAAAAAATAATGTACAACAGTACGGCAAAGGAAAATAAAATGTTAACAGATCACGCTCAACTTGGTTCACTGTGCCTCATCAAATATTCAACACTTTCATCATGCACATTCATGATGTATGCTGACCCTCTTACAACATGCAAACTTTGATCTTCTTGGAAAAGGAATTATAAGAACACAACAAACAGCAGCACTGCATACCTATACAGTCACTCTCGCCAAATCCAAAGATGGCTTTTACTTGGTTGTATGTCACACATCTCTGTATCTTGATGATGTTCTTATAAAATTCTGAGCTGCTCCTTAAAGTTAATAAAGAGAAAAAAAAAATGCAAATCTGTTTTTCAGAACTAACTTATATATAACTTAAATCCTTATTGCATACCTGAAAAATATTTTTATACATATTTGATACAGACCTCATCATTGTTTGAATTTCTCCTAAAGTGAAGAAACATCCTTACTAAATATAAAACAGTTCCATGATGCATAGTTATTATCAGAAAATATCCACACCCACCCCAAGTAACTGGTTATCAAAAATTCTGAGGGGAGAGGGGGTTTCAAGAGAACAAAATGTTCAAGAAAAGTATGTAGTAAACCTGGAGTATTTTCCAAAGGGGTTGGAGGATTCAAACCTCAAACCAGATCAACCTTTCAATGTCAGAGGCATATATCTCTAGATTTTCTGGAACAACTAAGTAACACGCTTGTCAAGGAGCAGTACTTTGAAAGCAGACGATTAATTAAAATTATTTCCTCTGGTAGAGTCTGCTAATTTTCTTCTTACCCTATGTAATCAATATCAGAGAAGATAAAAGTCTTCTTTACATCAAAGCCACAAGCGATAATATCTTTTGCATTTTCATAAGCCAGCCTGTGTGCTTCTTCACATTCCAAATCCTTTAGGAAAAACTTTTCATCATCTGTCAGCTGGATCACCAAGGGTACATTGAAGGCATCCTGTAGATATCTAAATTGGAAGGAATAAATCTCTCCACTAGTTATAAACATGAGGACAAGATTCCCAAGGCCTTCTAGATTAAGATGTCTCATAAGTTATGTAATTGTTCGCATACAAAAGCATATTATTTTGTTGCCAGGAAACAACACTTAGGATACATCTTAACTTGGGAGAGCTGCATGAATCTGGCCCCTAAAGTTCAGAAAGTCAGCAGGATAGACAGAGGAAAGTGATTATAATATTAAGGGTCAGTGTAACATCAAGATGTCAATTCATGAACTAATGGTTAGTCCAGGACATGGTCTTGTGACAACTATCAAAGTTGATCAACTCAGCTCAGTTTAAGGATACCCATCGTAAACAACAAT